ACAGACATTTTTCAGGCACTAAGAAACCACAGATGCCAGTTTTGACTACTATACCCAGCAAAACTTTTTAATCACCATAGACAGAGAAAGCAATATGTTTTGTGACAAAAGCAAATTTAAACACTACATATAAAAAAGTCCAGCCCTATAGAAGGTACTAGAAGAAAAACTCCAACCCAAAGAAGTAAGCTGCACCCACAAAAACACAGGCAATAGTTAATCTCACATAATGAAAAACTAAAGAAGGGACACACACATATACAATACCACCAACCCTGACCAACAAAAACTAACAGAAATTATCAATGATTGGTCATCATTATTTCTTAATGGACTCAATCAAACAATAAAAAGGCAGGCTAACAGAATGGTTATGAAAACAGGAGCTGTTCTTCTGCTACATACAAGAACCACACTCAACTTCAAAGACAGACATTTACTTCAGATTAAAGCGCTGGAAAAAGATTTTTCAAATGGATCTAAGAAGCAAGCTGGTATTTCTGCCTAATATATAAAAAACTGCCTTCAAACCAGAATTAACCAAAAGTGATAGAGAAAGGACATTTCATATTTATCAAAGGAGAACATGAGGATCAGAAAGGTTGAGTTGGGGGAAAGAACAGAGAAGGAGAACAAAGAAAGAGATACCTTGATAGAGGGAGCCATTATGGGCTGAACAAGAAATCTGGCACTAGGGAAATCTCCAGGGATCCACAAGTATGAACCCCACCTAAGAATCTAAACAATCATGGAGGGGCTACCTTAAATGCCCTACCCCTATAATGAGATTGATGACTATCTTAAATGCCATCATAGAGCCTTCATCTGATAGTTGATAGAAGCAGAAGCAGAGATTCACAGCTAAGCACTGACCCAAACTCCTGAAATGCAGTTATATATAGACAGGAGTGATGAGCAAAGGGGTCAAGACCATGCTGGGGAAACTCAAAGAAACAGCTGACCTGAGAAGGGGGTGCTCATGGACCCTGGTTTGACAGCTGGGGAACTAGAATAGGACCAAGCCAGCCCTCTGAATGTGGGTATCAGTTTGGGGGTCTCAGAAGTCTATGAGGCCTCTGGCAGTGGACCCAGTATTTGTCCCTAGTGCACAAATGGGCTTTGGGAGCCCATTCCATGTGGAGGGATACTCTCTCAGGCTAGATACACAGGGGAGGGCATAGGTCCTGCCCCAAATGATGTGACAGACTTTGATTATCCCTCATGGGAGACCTCACCCTCCCTGAGGAGTGGATGATGGGTATGAAGGGGATTCATGGGAGGAATAGGAGTTCAGGAGGGAAAGGGGACTGGGATTGGTATGTAAAATAAGCTTCTTTTTTAAAAACTTTTTTTTTTATTTTTTCTTATCTTATGTACCAATCCCCACCCCCCCCCCACACTCCACAGGGAGAGTGATGCCTTCCAGGAGGGATCAACAAAGTCTGTTAACTCATTTGGAGTAGAGACTAGGCCCTCCCTCCTGTCCCTAGACTAGGGAAGTATCCCTCCATGGGAAATGGGCTCCCAAAGTCCATTCATGCACCAGGAATACATCCTGGTTCCACTGTCAGAGATCCCTTAGACGGTCCAGGCCTTCTAACTGAGACCCATGTTCAGGGGAGCTGAATCAGTACAATGCTGGTTTCCCAGCTGTCAGTCTGGGGATCCATTAGCTCCCCATTGTTCAGGTCAGCTGCCTGTGGGCTTCTGTAGCCTGGTCTTGCCCCCATTTTCTTGTCATTTCTCCCTCTCTGCAACTGGATTCCAGGAGTTCAGCTAAATGTTTAGCTGTGGGTGTCTGCTTCTGTTTCCATCATTTGCTAGATGAGGGCTCTATGATGGTGGATAAGTTAGTCATCAATCTCATTATCAGGGAAGGGCATTTAAGGTAACTTCTCCATTATTGTTCAGATTGTTAGTTGGGGTCATCCTTGTAGGTCTCTGGACATTTCTCTAGAGTCAGTGTTCTCTTCAAACCTATAATGGCTCCCTCTATTATGGTATCTCTGCCTTTCTCTCTTTTTTTTGCTCTCATCTATTACTCCCCTGACTCAGTCTTCCTAGTCCCACATGCCGTCCTCTCCTTCTCTTCTCTTTCTCCTAACTCCCTCTCCACTCACTGCACCCCCACTCCCAATATGCTCAGGAGATCTTGTTCCTTTCCCCTTCTGTGAGGGACCTTGTATGAATCTCTTAGGTTCCTCCTTGTATCCTAGTTTCTCTGGCAGTGTGAATTATAGGCTGGTGATCCTTTGCTCTATGTCTAAAATCCATATATGAGTGAGTACATACCATGTTCCTCTTTTTGTGACTGGGTTACTTCACTCAGGGTGGTTTCTTCAAGTTCCATCCATTTACCTGTGAATTTCAAGATTCCATTGTTTTTTTCCACTGAGAAGTATTCCATTGTGTAAATGTGCCACATCTTCTTTATCCATTCTTCAGTTGAGGGGCATCTAGGTTGCTTCCAGGTTCTTGCTATTACAAATAATGCTGCTATCAACATAGTTGAACACCTGTCTTTGTTGGGTATATGCCTAAGAGCAGAATTGCCAGGTTCTGTGGTAGACTGATTCCCATTTTCCTGAGGAACCGCCATACTGATCTCCAAAATGGCTGTACAAGTTTCTCTCCCACCAGCAGTGGAGGAGGGTTCCATTTTCCCACATCTTCTCCAGCATAAGTTGTCATTGGTGTCTCTAATTTTAGCCATTCTTGCAGGAGTAAGATGGTATCTCAGAGTTGTTTTGACTTGCATTTTCCTGATTGCTAAGGATGTTGAGCACTTTCTTAAGTGTCTTTCAGCCATTTTGGATTCCTCTGTTGAGAATTCTCTATTCAGTTCTGTACCCCACTTTTTAATAGCCCAAGAAGGGGGTCCAGGGAAAGTCCACAATCCACTAGAAGAAAAGAAGCCAAAGAACCAGCCATCTGCACGGGGGAATGTGCAAAAGCATCTAATTCTTGCTGCATTTGGAGTCTAAACACCTATAGAGTTTGCTGGAGAGAGGCTGCAGCAGAAGGCTGCAGCAGAAAAAAAAATTCAAACTTACTTAGAGTCTTAGGGAAAAAAAGAGAGGATAACCCAACTAGTGAGACAGTGATATATTTGGGCTCATCCTGCATGTGCAGCTTTGGCTGGTGATGGTGGCTGCAAAGCCACAGGCAAGTGGCTTTTTCTTTTCTTTTCTTTTTTTTTTATGAATTTGTGTCCCCAAAGTTGGGCACCAGATGTAGCAGGAATTCTAATTGGTCTTAATAATAAAAATTCAGAGTCAGATATTCAAGAGAAACATGAATCCACCAGAACCCTGCCATGTGGTTGTTTTAGGGAAAGAGGATACCTGACATGGAGACTCAGGCAGAATACTTCACTCTACAGGAAAATAGTCTCTTCTTAGATCTCAAATATTTAGTTCTTGGGCCAGAGAGATGGCTCCAAGGGTAAAGGAGTTTGCTGTTGAGTCTGATAACCTGAGTTTGATCCCTCATAACCCACATAGTGGAAAGATTAGAACTGATGTCATATGTTGTCCTCTGGCCTCCACAGGCACCTCATGGTATTTGTGCACATTCACACACAGAGAAATAAAAATAATTTAATTTTTTTAGACTTTTAAATTTAATTGGCTGTGTATGAGTGTTGACTGTCCTGGAAGGCCCTTTAACTCAGAGATCCACCTGACTCTGCCTCCAAAGTGCTGGGATTAAAGGTGTGCACCAACCTCCCCGCCCAACCCACTTAGCAGGTTGTAAACGGAAAAGAATACCTGAAGTTGGGAGGGGGGTTTGGGAGGGCATCCAAGGAATCCGAATGGGGTTGTAGAGAATGTATAGGAACAAAATATGTTGTATATATGCATGAAATTCTCATAGAATAAAGATTTAATTATACTTTTTAAAATTACTTTGTTTCAGATCCTCCATTCAGATTTCTGTCCCCCATTTTCAAACATGTAAAAACATCAATTCACTGGGGTGTGTTCATAGTACTGGAAGATGTTGTACACAATACTGGATGAGAATAGTACTTAACATTCTCACCCAACTGAAAACCATGTAAGCTATAATAATGACCTATCTGAAAGTAATGAGAACTGGTGAAATTGTGGCACAAATGCTATGTGAATAACAAACCACTTTTAAAATTGGATTTCAGGCCAACTCCGTGAGAGGAAACCCATTCCCAACACTGTCAATAAGGCCAAGAACCTGAGACTAGAGAAATCCTGAGTCCAAGGAGAATTCCTACTACTACTAATCTATTAAATGAACATAGCAGTAATGAGGTTTCTAATGACATACTGCTGTATCCATCAAATAGCGAATCACTTAACCTTCATCAGAGAAGCTTCTTCTTGTAGTAGGTAATAATCAGCAAGAAAACTACAACTTGTTAACATGAAGAAAGGAAGAGACTTTGGAAAGCTCAGCTCAGACGAGGTTGGCTATATGATATCTGTCCCCTCAAGGGATCTATGTGGATAGAAGACAGAAAGATTGTAAGAGCCAGAGGTAATGAACGACTTCAAGGAAACATCATTTTCCAGACACAGTATGGCAGATGCACATATGCATTCACAGAGGCTGGGATAGAATTCACAAGATCTGCACAAGCTCAAACCATGCAAAATCTTAGTGTAGAGGAGCTCAGAGTTCTATCCTTAGCCAAGGAGGTACTGTCAATTGATAGTTACTGAGATGAGGAGAGTCAGGTTTCATCAATGGGGTGACACTGGGTTTGTCAACTATACTCCAGGGTAGGCCTCACCCTCAGGAATTGTTATCTAACATGAAATGGACTCCATGGTTTTTTATTTTGTTTAATTTTGTCTTGAAACAGTGGGAGATAATGTAAAGCTGTATAGGAGGGGAGGTAGAGAATTATCTGGAAGAAGATGGAGGAAGGAATTAATATAATTAAAATACATTGTATGAAACTCTCAAAGAATATGAAATATTTTTAAATTGGGTTAAAAAATAAAACAGATATTATATTTTCAGTATAATATTATTGTAGAATATTGGCACTAGAAGATATAACAATTTTACAATTAGAAATGTTACAATATTTCACATTTTCATTAAAAATTGATTGATCAAATTGCAGAGACATGGTTACTTTTCAAAGAACTCAAATAATTTGATGGAGACAACCAGATATGGATGTAGATGGTCTCATGAGGTCCAGAGAAGATGAATTTCTCATTCTGTCAATTGACTTAGTCATTTCCTTTACTTTAGATGGTACTCTGTATTGACACCGAGAAAGATCAATGGGTGTACTGAATCCATAACCATCCATCAGAGTCAGTTGATTAGCCTCATCTTCATCTGGATTTGACTCATGAAGTAAGTTAAAGTTTCCAATGTTCTTAGACACCACCTTCTCAAGGAACATAGGAGAAGTTCTTGAGGGAAAGTCATGCTCCGGTTGTGATCACATCTCGTGGCACAACATTTAGAACAATGTGTTTTTCTGGTTGTAGAATTAGTTCTCTGCTTAATTCTATAGGTATCTACAACAGTGGAGGAAAATACTGAGAATCATTGGGTGAACCAACAACAACCCCTAAAGTAAAGTAGAAGATATTCATGATGATGTTGTTTGCAGGTATTTCTAAGCTGAATTTTGGGTCATATGCTTTGACTTCCATATTTTTTTCAAGCTGTGTCAATTAGATGGTGAAAACACGCATCCAAATATGGATAAGGTAATATATTTATTGAGAATCTACTATATACAGGGCCTGAGATGAAGTCATGTTTGTTTATATTATTTCTGTTTTATGCTACTTTATTTTTATTTATTTATTTATTTATTTATTTATTTATTTATTTATTTGGAGACAGGGTTTCTCTGTGTAGCTTTGGAGCCTGTCCTGGTATTCATCCTGTAGACCAGGCTGGCCTCAAACTCACAGAGACCCACCTGCCTCTGTCTCCCACATGCTGGGATTAAATGTGTGTTCCCCACCACTGATCTAAGGATACTTGGAAGATCTGACTATAGTCCTCCACTTTACCAATTGAGCTATCTAAGGACCCACATTCTGTGCCACTTTAAACTAAAACAGACTAGTTCAATTTATCTTTGGTTTGATTTTTTTTTTCAAGACAGTGTCTTATTCTGTAGCTAGTGCTGACCTGCAGCTCAACATGTAGACCATGTTGGCCTTGAACTCACAGAGATCCAACTGTCTCTGCCTACTGAGTCTGGGACTAAATTCATGTGTCACTAAGCCTGGTGAGTTTAAGTATGTGAGCCCTATTCTTAGTTATTATGTAATTTTCTTTTAGTTCTGAAAAGTGATTTTTGGTTTGTTGACACTTGCAAATTAATCCTGCATGAATACATTTCACTTCTATGAACAGTCCTCAGCTCCTAGATCATATGCCACCACTACAGTTGGACAAATCTTTAGGAGGACTCAAATATTTGCTTGCTTTCCCAGCATTTATTCTTTGCTTTCAAGGATGATTTGAATGAAGAATTCTGAATCCTACAGTGTTTTCAATGATGCTTTAGCCTCATGCTATTTGTTGATGAAGGGGGAAAGCCTCCAGTGGATTAATCTTATGGACATATAGGAGAATGAAGGGGAACAAAATTGTTATAGAGATAGAGAAGTGCCAATTTTAAGATGACTGGAACTTGAGAGAGTATCTTCCCCATGACAGGTTGCTCTCAAAACTTGAGTCTTGGTTTGTCTGTCTAAATCCCTGTACATGCTTATGATTTAAATGCTTAGGTGTTGGTGGTGCACGCCTTTAATTCCAACACTCAGGGGGCAGAGGCAGGCACATCTCTATGAGTTCAAGGCCAACCTGGTCTACAGACAAGTTCCAGGACAGGTTCCAATGCAATACAGAGAAACCCTGTCTCAAAAAATGAAAACAAAAACCTCCAAACAAACAAACAAACAAACAAACATAACCACATACACAAGTGCTTACTGAGCAGGAAGTAACATAAGTGAGGTTGTGTGTGCATAAAGCCACATAACTGCCTTAACCACAACTCACAGAACAAACAGTCCCATCCCAGGAATAAAACTAATTGACAAAGAGAAGCCACATTCTAAATACACACATCCCGAATATTATATCCATTCCTTTGCAAGAAATAAGAACATGTGTTCAGGAAAATGTAAATGCTTTCTCTAATTGTACCACCTTGTTTTAAAAATTTAAGTAGTATACATGTTTTTTTCCGTGGATGCATAGAAAATGATGTGCATAAAATAAATATGTAAGTGTTATCTGTTCATTGTTTAATTAGTCTAATGTTTTCATAACAGAATACTATAATTGTAAACTATACTTCAGAACATTTTCTGAAGGCTTTCAATGCTCAAACTCTCCACAAAGAACCATTTGGAATTTGTAGATGGAATAATGGGAGGTGATGTAGAAAAGAGAGTGGGTGCCCTTCAATACTGGGAGAAAGAGAATAACTAAACTGGAGGCTGTAAGAACAAAATATTAGCAGCATTATTTGTAATAACCAGAACCTGGAAGCAACCTAGATGCCTCTCAACTGAAGAATGGATAAAGAAGATGTGGCATATTTACACAATGGAGTACTTACTATTCGGCCGAAAAAAACCAATGGAATAGTGAAATTCGCAGGCAAATGGATGGAACTAGAAGAAACTTCCCTGAGTGAGGGAACCCAGTAACAAAAAGGCAAACATGGTATGTACTCATTCATATATGGTTTTCAGACATAGAGCAAAGGATCACAAGCCTCCAATTCACACCACCAGAAAAGCTAGGAAAAAAGAGGACCCTAAGAGAGACGTACATGGTCCCCCCAGAGAAGGGGAAAGGGACAAGATCTCCCAAGCTAATTGGGAGCATGGGGGAAGGGGAGATGGAGTCCAGGGGAAGAGGAGGGGGAGAGGTGGGCATGAAGGAGCAGGAAGATTGAGTCAGGGAAAGAATAGAGGAAAGCAAGAAAAGAGATACCATAATAGAGGGAGCCATTCTAGGTTTTAAGAGAAATCTAGCACTAGGGAAATGTCCAGAGATCTAAAAGGATGACCACCAACTAACAATCTAAACAATAATGGAGAGGCTACCTTAAATGCCCTTCCCTGATAATGAACTCTTGGAATCCAGTTGCAGACAGGGAGGAGTGATGAGCAAAGGGGTCAAGACCAGACTGGAGAAACCCACAGAAACTACTGACCTGAACAAGTGGAAGCTCATGGCCTCTAGTCTGATAGCCTGGAAACCAGCATAGGACTGACCCAGATTCCTTGAATGTGGTGTTAGTTGGGAGGACTGGGCAGTTTATGCGGCTTATGGTAGTGGATCAGTATTTATCCCTAGTATACGAATGGACTTTGGGAGCCCACCCCACATAGAGGGATACTTTCTCAGCCTAGACACATGGGGGAGGGCCTAGGCCCTGCTGCAAATGATATGATAGACTTTGAAGCCTCCCCATGGAAGGCCTCACCCTCCCTGGGAAGCAGAAAGGGAATGAGAGGGGAGTTGGTGGAGGTGGGGAAAAGGGGAGGGCAGTAGGGTGCGGGAACTGGGATTGACATGTAAAACAAGCTTGTTTCAAATTTAAATAAAAATTTATATAAAAAGAACAAAATATTAGCATAGGTGATAAAAGTAGTAGAAGCCAAAAGTAACATATAATGTAAATGAGGAAAGAAACCTAAGAGAAATATTTATTTGGGCAATGAACAAGAATTTGAAGTATGAAAGTGGAATATGAAGTGGGGGGGAAGGATACATGATTTATGGAAATATTACAGCAACCTTTTATTTTGCAGCAGAGCTCATGAGAAGTGAGGCAGAACCATCAAGATGCCCCATAAAGTTGGAGTTCATCATAAACATAAACTTTCAAATATTTATTTCTTCTTATTTTATGTTCCTTAGTGTTTTACTTGCATATGTGTATGTATACCATATGTCTGAGGTCTCAACAGAGGCCAGAGAAGGATTATCAGGGGCTCTGGAACTGGAGTTACAAATGGTTGTGAGCCACCATGGGGCTCTGGGCTCAGGTTCTTAGTAAAAGCAGATAGTGTTCTTAACCACTGAGCCCTAGCATTTGTGTTTTAAGGAAACAATTCTCAACTCAGCATCATATGGGAAGTCAGAGGTGAGCTTTCAAAGCCACACTCTGGTTAACTTATTTTAGGATTTCAGAAATGACCAGGCATCATGAGTTTTTGTTTTTGTTTTTGGTATGGGTGTCATGTAGCCCATGCTGGTTTCAAATTCAATAAGTGGCCAAGGATTACTTGTATTTATGATCCTCTTGTCCCCATCTCTTGAGTGCAGAGATTTCAGGTATGCATCATCATAGCTAATTCATGCAGTTGTGGGGATGGGCACCAAAGCTGTGCTAGGTAAGCACTTTGCCAACTGAGAAATTTCTCAGACCTCACATATGAGTTGTAAATCTCCTCAGGTGATTCTGATGTGAGGCCAGTGGTTGACAAGACTGTTAGAGGACAGCTTCTGTGAGTTCATAAAGAAGAGTGCACCACCCAACAAACACGAAGACATGGTCACTGCACCTCTTGATGGCACATGACATATCCAATCTCCAGTGGACATGACTGGAGCTTCAAACAGAATGCATATAATCCTGTCATACTGATCTTCACTAACTCCCCATAATGCTACAATTTTACTCTATATTGACACACACCCAAAGGTCTCTTGGCTTCTGCCTAGATACAAATATCTCATTTGGCTACAAAGCAAATTAGCAAACCTCAAACAAGCAATTTGTTTTTATACACAGACCCTTCAGTTAAAAAAAAATGTCCCCCTCCCAATATTGTTTACAGAGATAGTTTTTCCCTCACCTGTGTTTCCTTACAAGGCTGGAAGGAGAAGTTCTGCAGGACTTTCGTGAGAACAAGTTTCATGTTCATGAGAGCAAACCTGAAGCCAATGCAGTTCCTGGGTCCAATCCCAAAGGGCAGGAATGCATAAGGATCAATGCTGCCCTTGTTCTCCTTGCTGAACCTGGAGACACACAGTAATGATAAGTCAAGAAAGGGTACAAGCATAAGAGCTACATACATGAATTTGCCTTCAGATGTCTAACCAGTAACATATAAAGAGTTTGGGAAATGGTCACTGAACTTGTGCTTCTAGGTATTTGGCTCTAAGAAATTATACACTAAAGGTCCTTTCCACCCCCTTTTCCTAAAAGAGTTTCTATATGGTAGATAAGACAAATGTTTTTTTGAAAGAAAATGCACCCTATGTGCCCACTAGTGTAATAGTGGTGTTTTGTGGCAGGGGTAACCTACCAACTGTCTGATTGGAGTTCCAATTTACAGGGTGAATTAATGCCTGGTACTGAAAATCTGGTCGAAATCCAATAGCTTTGGTAGTCATGGGGTCTGTCAGAGAATCTGTTGTTTTGCTAAGTAGGACATGGTATTAAACTGTCTTCTAAATATTTATGTTTATATGCAAACATTAGTGTTGCTTTCAGCCTTGGTCTTGCAATGGGAGACCGTTAACACAGAGACCCATACCTGGTCAGGTTGCTGAAAGTGTGCATTGGTGGAGAGCTCACTGATTAATGGGACATCTAAATCACTCCCTACAAGACTTAGAGAGCATCTCAGAAGAGGGGGCAACATGATGTAAGAGCCAGGAAATGAAAGGGGTGGTGTGAAACATTATCAACTGGACATGACAATCCATTGTACTCACGAACTCTCAGGAGCTGTGATTGCCTATACAAGGCTAGACCCATGTAGATACATTCCATCATGGATGGGAGAGGGAGTTCATGAGGTGCCATCTCCCTAAAGAGCTATTGACAATAAATGATTCCTGGGGTAGAGGGAAGTTTCTCTTCAATTGTGTATCTACAGGTGAGTTGTCCATTCTCCAGTAAATAACTCCTATACCTTTGCTTATGCAAGCAACCCTAATTAAATTCCTGAGTCACAAGGGAACAGGAGCCATGAAAAGAGGAGGAAGATTGCATGGGGATAAGTAGGATTCAACGTGAGTGGGAGGGAGAAGAGACAGGGCAAGGTGAAGTGAAAATGACCAAAATATAGCATCCATGCATGCAATTGCCAAAGAATAAAAAGTAAAAATGGAGGGGACATATCTTTAAACTCGAAAAGTCCTTTCAGGATGATGTTGGTCTCCATGACATGACAGAAAATCTCATGTGAGCCAGCTGAAGGAAGTGGGTTCTTTCCTTATTCTTAAGTTGGTCATGTTTTATTTGAGGAAGGAGGATAAGACAGTCTGTATGTAATCCTCACATTTTCTTCCTGTCTTTCTCTTTCCCTCTCCTCTTTTTTCTTTGCTTTCTCTTTCAGTCTCTCCATAGAATGCAAATAGATGTAAAATTACATTTAGATCATCTTCCCACAAGATATTTTAGCATAAACAGGTTAGTATGTCAGAGTGGGCTCCCACTCCTGGGATCCTGGTACCTTTCAGGGTGGAATCCCTCAGGCTCTGGCCAGTACTGTGGATCATGGTGAAGAGCAAAAACTGGTATAGTCACTACTGAACCTTTGGGAACAAGCACACCATCCATTCCCACATCCTGTTTACAGATTCTCTCGATTCTGTTAGCAATTGGGTATAATCTGAGGGTTTCTTTCAACACCATGTCCAGGTACTCCATCTCCATCACTTTATCATAGTTGGGACGTGCCTGGGAAGAAACAAAAAAGATTTGTTCTGGGAGTTTAGATTAATTTTTGGCTGGATCTGTGAGTTCTCAGTAGCTCCAAAGTTTCTGACACCAGCATTACAAAGGTCCTAAGCACTTACAACACATTTTATAGTTTTAAATTGTTTTTTTTTATATGTGTAGGCATTTTTGCATACATATGCATTTGTGCACATGAGAGCAGTGCCTACAGAAGTTGGAAGAGGGAGTCAGATCCCTTGCAACTGGCAATGCAGTCATTTGGGTGCTGTGAATCAAACCTGGTTGGATATTCCAAAAGAGCAGCCAGTGCTCTTAACCACAGAGTCATCTACCAGCCCTTTCAAGGTGGTTAGAATACTTAACTATCACTTGGGGCTTAAAATGTCTCAATTAGTGACATGTCTACTATGAATGTGTGAGTTCACATACACACCATTCATAAAGCTAGACACGATGACACACATCTATAATAACAGCAGTGAAAGAGGCATGTGTGGGAGCAGATACTGGGCATGTTTGGTGATCATTGGCCAGACTGTCTAGCCAAATTGATGATCTCCAATTTCAGCGAGAAAGCGCGCGCGCACACACACACACACACACACACACACACACACACACACACACACACACAGAGCCAGAGATGAGAAAGTGTCTCCTCCCTCCTATTCCAATCACCATCCAGTCACCTTATTGGGCAGAGTGACGTCAATCTCCTCCTGTAGTTTCTTCTGTATATCAGGGTGAGTGGCCAGTAGATACAGGGCGAAGGCAAGTGTGCTGCTGGTGGTATCATAGCCAGCAAAAATAAAGATAATTGACTGGGCTAGGATCTCCATGTCAGATAGAGCTGAAAGTAAGAAAATATTTCAGAAAAGTCAGAATGGACCATCACAGAAGAGATGAGGAGAACATGAAAGGAGGCTCCTGTTCCCCAGAGATAAATATGGAGAAGCAGTTCAGTACCCTGGGACTGTTGTCACACTGCCATCCATGTGACACAGCCAGAGAAGGGGAAGACTGCTTCAGCCAGGACACCCCAGGGTTTATGCTCTGATCCTCACCATCAGTGGGCAACTTTGAGATGTGTTGTTCATTCTGTTTCCAAGACTCATTTTTAGTTTTTATTTATGTGTATTTGTGTCTGTCTGGAGGGTTGCCGTATGTGTGTGTGGGGTGCCCATGGAGTCCAGAAGAGGGCATCTAATCCCTTACAAGTGGAGTTTTGGAAGTTTGTGAGCTGTAGGTGCTGGGAACTGAACTCCAGTCCTCTGTTAGATCTTAAGATTTTTTAAAAAATTTTTTGAGACAGGGTTTCTCTATGTAGCCCTGGCAGTCCTAGAACTTCCTTTGTTGAACAGGCTGGCCTCGAGCTCACCGAGATCAACCTGTCTTCCCCTCCCAAGTGTTGAGATTAAAGGTGTGTGCCACCACCACCTGGCTTTAGTTTTTATTTTTTATGTGTGTGCATGTACAGGTGTACAAGTGCCCATGGAGAGCAGAAGATGGCTTTGGAGCTCATAGACTGGAACCACAGGCATGGGTGCTGTGACTCAGTTATTGGTAATTTTTTTCCTCCCAATTAGTGTAAGTCCTTGGTACTAAATTAAATCTGTACTAGAAACTAACAACCAGTTGGTATTTTTTAAAAATTAGTAACTATTTTAACAACCAAAATTGAAACAGAAGGGCTGAAGATACATCACTCAGTAGGTAGAGAGCTAGCCTGGAAGCATAAAACCCAGGATTCAGTCCCCAGCAGTGTTCTAACCAGGCATGGTAGCATAGAATTTAAAAGGTCATCCTCAGGCACACTATGAATGTGCAGTTAGCCTGGGTTGTATGAGGCCCAGTCTCTAAAGGAGAAGGAGGAATAGAAGAATTTGAAGTTAGGTGATCACATGAAAGGGTTTCAAATGTACAAACTGGAGAGAATTCGAAACACAAAATACATGATGACTTTATAAAACAAATTTGGGGACATAGAAGATTATGTAATAAATATATATATACATATATGTGTGTATATGTATATATATATGCATGCATGCAATGGTATATACTAGAATTAAGCAAATATGTAAGAATAGAATACTCCCTTTACATTAGCTACTAATGCACACTGGTAGAATTAGGTCTGCAAATTTTTGCAACCATAATAGTAATAATGATTTTAAATTAAAACAGCTGTGGACAGGAGGCTAGAAAGATGGCTCAGTGGGTAAAAGCACTTGCTGCACAAACAAGAGGACCTGAGTTTGAATCCTCAGTCCCCAAGTAAAAAGCCAAGTGTGGTAGCACTCCCCTGTAGCCCCAACTCTGTGGATCATTGGTACTGGCTGGCTCTCAGCCTAGCTCCAGGTTGAATAAAAAGACCCTGTCTTGAAGGAATCAGGCAGAGAGTGATTGAGGAAGATACTTGATGCCTTCCACACACACATGCACATAATGCATATACCACTTGAAAAAGATAAAAAAATCTATAAGTGATTTTTAGGTGTGTAAAACAATTAGGATAAAGCATGTGTTTGTACAAAGAGGCAGTTACCAGATGCCACTTATTCAATGCACAAAGAAAAGCAAATCTTTACCATAGATTAAGGAAGATGACACATGTCCACCAGGGGCTCCCAGAAATCATCAATACTGTGTGGGTATGTGTCTCCTGCCTGGATGGGGGATATCTAGGCAGAGTTCCCAGTCAGTATGCTGGGAAAGACAGAAACAGCACCTGTGCAGACCTAGGTAACACACAGAGACCACTGATGACTTCCATCATGACTACCCTTCATGTTTGGAACAAACTTATGCCCATGTGCTTCTAGAAAATTCCATGTAGATAATAGCCGTGTCCTTTCAGCAACTTGACAGAGGTATTCTTCTGCTAGAAAACCTTCCCACAGATTTTCTGAGAGACCTGACCGCTCCTCTAGAGCTTCCTTGTCCATAGGGCAGGGAGTCCTTGATTACCTTTGTGAGACTCTTTGTCTTTGGAATTGTCATGTGTGTTCATCATCAGCTGAAGGAAATCCACTCGGTGCTGGAAGCAGAAAGAGAAGTTGCAGAAATAGAAGGTCAATGGTGAGGTTAGAGGTCAGAGGTGGATCGGGGTGGCAGAAGCTTAACCTCCTTTCTGAGAACATAGCTCCCTTAAATTCACAGACATGCCTAGTGTTGCTTAAGGCATCAAAGAACAAAAGCACCAGTGTCTAAACCAGGAAGCAATCCAGCTACCACATCAACCACTTTTCCAGTAAATTACAATAGACACAATTTTAAACAATAACTTTGATTTGTTGAAAATGTTTTTGAAGGAGATTAAAATAGTATTTCCCTCCCTTTTAATCATTTTTATCTATTCTTAGAGAATTCCATACATGTATATAATGAGATATGGTCATACCCACACCACCATTTTCTCCATTTGAACCCTTCTGTATCCCTCATAACATTTCTTTCTCCAAACCTCATGACGTCTTCTTTATAAATAACCCACTGAGTCCAACTGGTGCTGCCCATATGTGTCTGGTTATGGGGCATCCACTGGCGCATGGACAAACTACTGGTGTCCTCCTTCTGCAGCCATAAACTACCAATAGTTTCCAGTAAGGGGTGGGGCTTGGACCTGCCCTCTCTCACCTATGCTGGAGATTTGGTGGTCTTGATCTTGTGTAGGTCTTGTGTCTTTCTTCTTAATTTCAGTCCTTATGCAGGGCACTGTTGTTTTCATTCCTTTTGCTAAGTGTTAATTCCTGGATTATTCACAATTAGCTTTCCAAAACTCCAATTTCTCCTCTCTCAGAAATATTAAAATTCTCTTCAACACACACTCTCTCTCCCTTACTCTCTCAATCTAGCCTTCTCTATCTGCTTTAGTGACAGCTGAAAGGAAGCCCACAGCTCACATATTCACAGCCCAACATGTTATCAAACCCTGGCCTCTCATGACACCACTACTTTTACCTTCTGTTTAGAGTCCAAGTGATTTTCCTTCATTCTCTCCACGAATTTTTTGAAAAATGCTATGGAATCTCTTCGGAATATTGATATATGTAACCTCTCGTATATTGGGGTGAGGAATGGAAAGAGTACTAGAAAGGATAGATTAAAAAATAAATTTTAGTGGAAACACAAGTTTCATCTAGAGAAATCATGCAGCAATCTAAAGAATAAGTTATTAGTGTCTCAATAAGAAGCCATTCTCTTTGTGACCTTGTTCACAATGTGTCACCACCATAATGCTCCTTCTGTGCTTTGGAATAGCCAGAGGAACAAATCTGACTCTTGGGATTTAACTCTGTTCCTGTAGTGCTTGTGGATTCAGAAAGTACAGACAAGGTCCTTTGACATGATTCAACAGCTAAAAGGTCCCTGCAGACAAGCCTAATAACCTGAGTTTGATCCTGTATTCCATACTGTGGAAGGAGAGAACAAGCTACTGTAAGTTGTCCTCTGGTCTGCACATGCCACAGAAATAAATAAATGAATAAATAAAAGTTAAAAGCATATACATAAATAATAAAGAAAGTTAAGCCAAGATAACATTTGGTGTCAATTGGCTTGATAAAATCAAATCTAGCACTAGAAAGGATATTTGGAAAGTCAGAAGTATGTGCAAATTAATCTATACACTCGTATTAAATAACCAATAGGTCGAAGAACTCCAGAAGATGTTTGGAAAATTTGTTGAGATATAGTTTCATTGTGGAGTGCTTGGCTAGCATTATGATATTTTGGGATCTCTTTGAAGGAGGAAAAGAATGGAAAATGTCTTGAGAGAGGGTATGAAATAAAGATAATCAAGATTGTGTAGAGAAAAGGTCCAGGGAGGATAATGATGGGGGTTGTCCTTCTGTATGCTGTGAATGCATATTATCTTGTATTGGTTGATGAAAAAAGCTGCTTTGGCCAATTGACAGACATGATTTAACCAGGCAGTAAATCCAAACAGGGATCGCGAAAGGTAGTAGATGGAGTCAGAATGATGTCATGTAGCTGCCGAGGAGGCAAGAGGCCTGGGCATCACCAGTAAGCTACAACCACACTGAGATACACAGATTAATAATTAAGAGAGAACTAGCCAGTAAGAATCCTGAGCCATTGGCGAAACAGTTTATAATTAATAAAAGCTTCTGTGTGTTTATTTGGGACTAAATGCCAGTGGGACTCGGTAGGACAGAAACCGATTATCTGCAGGATAATCTTTTTGTACAAAGTGCCTAGGCACCTTCTGATTGGTTTAATGAAGAGTTGAATGGTTAATAGCTAGGACAGGTTAATAGAGAGGACAGGAAGGAGAGAGTAAACTTGGGAAGAAGAAGGGTGGATTTCACCAGCAAGACACAGGGTTGGGGGTTGTGAATGGGGAGTTGGTTTATAGTATGGGAGAGAGGTAATGAGTCACATGGCAGAACATAGATTAATAGAAACACATTAATTTAAGTTATAAGAGCTAGTTGGAAACAAGCCTAAAGTGAGGCCAAACTTTCATAACTAATAACAAGTCTCCATGTCATTATTTGTGTTTTAGTGGACCAAGTAGAGTATAACCTTAGGTTTACAGCCTTCATTTTTAAAATCTAAAATCATCAAACTTTGCATTACAAAATAAAAAATTAAAACAACTAAATGGGGAGATGATTCATTGATAAAATGCTTGCCATGCAAGTACAAAACATGAATTCTGTACCCAGCACCCCTTTAAAGCCAAGCTCAAAGACAGGTGGCCCAAACTCAGAAATAAAGAAAAAAAAATCACTCAATCTCCCTCACTTCCAGAGTCTAGCCTATAATAAATAAATGTAAATATGTGAGCACATATAAGTGTGGATATGGGATGATTCTTAAAAGGAGACCAAGGGAGTATGATATTAGGTGTCGAGGAAAGATGGATGTAGGCAGAAGGACACATGAGCTATATATGGAAAAGTAATTGACAGAGAAAGTATTAAAATTATAAAGGATGCACCACTGCTAATTGTACCCAGCACATACACAATAAAATACTACAGGGGTGGAGAGATGGTTCAGCAGTTAGCACTGACTGCTGAGTGATCACAGGTTTTGAGTAGCACCCATGTCGCTGCTCTCAACTATCTGGTACTCAATTTCAGGGGATTTAATGCCCTCTTATGGTTTAGACAGGCACTTCATGCATGCATACACATACCTGCAGGTAAAACACTCATACACATAACATAAAAATAAGTAAATCTTTCATAAATATTAAAACATTTCATCTGTGCAAGAGAGATGGTAGAAAGGCAGATATTAAATCATCTAACTTTGTTTTATAATTGCATTAGGACTAGGGAAATGCTAATCAAAACCTCAAGTCCAATCTGCAGGGTATCCACTAATGGAAATGATCAAAGTCATGGGAGAGCCAAGTGGAGCATGGAGGACCTGGAACTCTTCTGCTTTTCCAGAAGACATATAAAATGCTGCAGTTACTGTGGAAAATGCATGCTCTATTGTTTAATATGTTAAAATGGGTTATATTGTGACTCAGGATCAACAATTAGGAAACTATACCTTCAAAACATAAATATTCAAACATAACCTTGTATTCAAATGCTCATAGCAGCAAATTTCACAGCAGACATATAATGCTAACTTCAGTGTCCATCAATGTATGTGGAATGTTACTCATTGATAGACATGGGAGACAGTGATGCTTGCTTCATGAAATATTTAGCTAAATGACAAAGACCTGCCACAGAGATGGCATAGACTATGATCCCATTGATGTGAAATATCCAGAATATGCAGATACACAGAAAATAAATTGGTGGTCGTGTAGGTCAGGGCTGATTGAAGGATGATGGTGCAAATGTACAACATGGCTAGAACAAAGTTCCCTTCAGGTGACATTGGTAATGAGCCATGTAGACCATCGTCAAAGCAGATTCTTGAGTGATCCAAGTGCTGAGAATAAGTGACTGCTGAGTGCTGAGTGCTACATGGAGCATCTATATATATCAACAATCCCACCACTCAAGGCTCAAGGAGCATCATGTAAGAGAATGTGGGAATAAAGTAAGAGCCAGGGAGGGTTGGTGTGAAATGCCATGTCCTGGACATTGCATGGCCCACTCATGCTGGTCAGCATCCTAGCAGGCAGCACTGATTGGACTCAATGGGTGACCAAAAAGAGGAAGGGAAATAAGTTGAGAGGAAGATGTGTTGGGCTGTCGGAGGGAAGTGGGAGTTGAGTGTTACTGGTGGGTATAATCACGATAGATTGTATACCTATATGATATTGTCAAAGGATATATAAAAGAATTCTAAAACAAAGCCAGGAGTGGTGGCTTACACCTTTGTAGGTAGAGGTAGGTGAATCACTGTGAGTCCTAGGCCAGTCCAGTCTACACAGCAAGGTCCAGGTCAGCTGGTGCTACACAATGAGATCCTGTCTAAAAGAAAAATGAAGTTCTAAAACAAAAGTAAGGGGCGCATGTCTTTTTGAATGCACTAAAAACATTGGATTGTGCCTTTAAAAAATACGTATATTCATTATTTTTTCTTATTTTACATATTGATCCCAGTACTTTCTCCCTCACTTCCTTCTTCCTGTTCGCTCCTCCCTCTGACCCCCTCCCATCCCATTCTCCACCCATTCCACAGGGAGGGTGATGCCTTCCAGGAGGGCCCATCAAAATCTGTCAAGTCATTTGGAGTAGGGTCTAAGCCCTCCCTCCTGCCTCTAGGCTAAGGGAGTATTCCTCCATGGGAAATGGGCTCCCGAAGTCCTTTCCAGCACCAGGGATACATTCTGGTTCCACTGTCAGAGGTCCCTTAGACTGCCCAGGCCTTCTAACTGAGACTCATGTTCAGGGGGCTGAGTTGGTATAATGCTGGTTTCCCAGCTATCAGTCTGGGGATCCATTAGATCCCCTTTGTTCAGGTCAGCTGCCTGTGGGCTTCTGTAGCCTGGTCTTGACCCCTTTTCTTATCACTTCTCCCTCTCTGCAGCTGGATTCCAGGAGTTCAGCTAAGTGTTTAGCTGTGGGTGTCTGCTTCTGTTTCCATCAGCTACTAGATGAAGGTTCTATGATGGCAGATAAGTTAGTTATCAATCTCATTATCAGAGAAGGGCATTTAAGGTAGCCTCTCCACTATTGCTCAGATTGTTAGTTGGGGTCACACTTGTAGATCTCTGGACATTTCTCTAGAGTCAGTTTTCTTTTCAAACCTATAATGGCTCCCTCTATTATGTCATCTCTTTTTTTGCTCTTGTCTATTTGTCCCTTTCCTGGTCCCACATATTCTCCTCTCCTCCCCTTCTCTTTTTCCTAACTCCCTCTCCACGCACTGCTCCCTACCTCTCCCAATATGCTCAGGAGATCTTGATCCTTTCCCCTTATGTGAGGGACTTTGTATGAATCTCTTAGAATCCTCCTTGTATTCTAGTTTCTCTGGCAGTGTGTATTATAGGCTGGTGACCCTTTGCTCTATGTCTAAAATCCATGTATCAGTGAGTACATACACTGAGATCAACAGTTAATAAATGGGACCTCCTGAAACTAGGCTGTGCCTTGAAGAATGACCCAATAAGATTGTGAATAACAAGTCAGGTGAATTGTATATCAATAGAGCTATTAGTTTTTGGTAAGTGTGGAAGACAAAGGCAGAATTGATAAACATGGCCACATTCAAGATCAGTGGGTCAAAAGGCAGAAGAACCATCAAACATACCTGCTGTCATTATTATTGGATCAAAAAAATCAAATCTTATGAGCTTCCTGGCATTTTCCACAAAAGGGTCCTTTGGGTTGTTGAGGGAATCAACGTTTACACCAAATGATGTACTTGTGATCACATCCATGCTGTAGGCACCAAACACTCTGAGAAGAGAGAGACATAGAAGTTTATCACTTGCAGCAAGAAGCCAGGAATAATTCACATTCTTGGGCAAGACAGGCACAACCACCTCAGTACTGACCAAGCACCTTCCCCTCCTACCCATCCTCTGCCTTTGCGAACTTGGTACTATCATGTTTCTTTTTCAACTGTATATTTTGTCATCTAGTGTCTAAAAGGGTTAGAAGGAGCAGCTGGACCATGTGAGACAACAGAAGGATGACCTTCTGCCCCGGTTACCCTTCCTCTCCCAGAACCACCGAGGGTGTACCACTACTTACTCCTTTGCAATGATAGGCTTGCCTTTCTCTGCCTCTCTCCTCAAGTATTTCACCAAAATATCTCCATACTGTTCAATGATGGGGAACATCTAAGCACAAAACACAAAGGCATCCACAGTTAGGAGTGGAGACTCCAGATGCACAAATATTTCAATGTGAAGTCCTTTTAGTCACCTCTTTGAGTTTTCCACTGGTGAAGTTGGGGGACAGCAAGGTTCGAATTCTCTTCCATTCCTCATCCTTAGACACGGAAACAGCTTTATTCATTATCCCCATTGGGCCCAAATCCTGCAGTCCCCCCAAAAAAATACAAATAGTGCTCTGTGTAAGTCCAGAATTTCCCATGGTTGCAAAAGTGCTAAGTGGAGATTTCTGTATAACAATTAGTTACTGACATGGATCAAGCCTCATGCTAGATACAAAAAAAGGTCAGAATTTCCTCACAATCTACAAGAGATCAGGTGCTCACTGGGCTGCCTGTTGAGCTTTCAAACTTATATTCCAGGATCCTTCTAATTGTAAATCTCTCTATGGTTGGAAAATTAGTTCCAAGGGTGAGGGATGAAGATTGGAACAAGACTTAATAGATTCTCCAGAGCTATGCAAATGTCAAATAGCTTGAGAACAGCTAGAAAGTTAACTTTTCATCAGACAAGTTCTCCAGCTCAGTATTTACAACATAAGTGATGTAAAAAGGGATATCTTGATATGGTGTGTGTGTGTGTGTGTGTGTAGACTAGAGTACCAGAGTGCATGCTCATGTGTGGTCTTTAGTGACTAGAGGTCTGGCATCTTCCTCTATAATGTTTTACTGGGTTTTTTTGAGGCAGGGTTTCTCACTGAAGGCTCTGGTTTTGCTAGAGAAGGTAGGCAGCAAGCCCCAGGATCTACCTATTTCCAAACACAGCTCTGAAATAATGCCTGATGCTATGCCCAGCTTTTATTTGGGTGCTGAGCATCTCACTTTACCCACTGAGCCATCTCCCTAGCCCAGAGACACTTAAAGTTGTGAAGTTTTGGGTTTTTCAAGATTTATTTTAGTATTGTATGTATGTATTATGTATAGGTGTATGTATTTGTGTATGTATATATGTTGTGTGTATGTGTGTATATCTTGTGGTGTGTGTATGAATGTATGTACACGTGTGTGCAGTGCATTCAGAATCTAGAGGAGGAGTTGGATCTCCTAAAGCATAAGCAACAGTTACCATGTCATCTCACTGTCCCTAGTTTGTTTTCTTTGTGGATTTTTTTTAGAAATAATTCTGTAGATTTTTTTTCTTAATTCTTTATGCAGTGATAAAAGGGAAAACATAATTCTATTTCCCTGGTGGGATCTTCCTTCTGTGTTCCACACTTATAATTTATACTAATGTGGAGTCTTCCAGCTGCCCTTATATTAAAGCAATTAGCACAACAGGAAGAAATGGAAGTGGCTTCCACTTTCTGAAAGGCAGCTGCAAACTAGGTCTTCAGCCAACTTCACCAAATGACCAAAGGCTGAACAAGGGCCAGAGAGATGGCTTAGTACATAAAGGTGCTTGCTGCCAAGCCCAACATCCTGAGTTCAATCCCCAGTACCCACAATGTAGAAATAGAGAACCAATAGGCATTTTCAGATAGAACTGTGGGGTAGGGATGGTTAAATAAAAGAGAACATTGAACTAATTAATATACATCACACAAAGTTAACATAAAGAAAGCTAGATTTAAGAGTTAATCTTGAAAGGATATAATTTGTACAGAAGCAGACCCATACAGAAGGGCCAGGTAAATAGTTATGGGACTTAATATAGACCACACACTCCTTTGAGAAGGAAAATGGAGATGCAATAAGAAGATAGGCCATACATGGTAGCTAATGGGCTAGCAAGTGCACATTGCATGGTCAAGGAGCCACTCTGTATTCTCAGAGTTTGTCACCACACAAATATAGACCTGTGAGAAACTGTACAGCACCACACAGACATAGGAAAAGACCCATGACAGGAAATGTAAACACAATCTAGATGAGAAAGTGTCCTTCTTAACTAGATTACAATAATATAGTATACTTATGCTTCTCAAGCCATTAGTATTAGCAAAGTGAAAACCCAGACCATGCTTGTACATTACTGTGGAAGCCACTCTGAATCTATACGTATTTCATTTTTTAAAACTAGTAATTAGTCAGGAGTTGGCAATGCATACTCTTAATCCCAGAACTCAGGAGGTAGAGGCAGGCAGATCTCTATGAGTTCATGGACAGTCTTGTCTACAGAGTGAGTTCCAGGACAGTCAAGACTATACAGAGAAACTCTTGTCTTTGAAAATCCAATCCAAACCAAACAAATGAAATAAATGCAATAAGTAAAATATAAAATTTTGCATTGTTAAACAGGGGAGGCTTGGTGGATGATTCAATACTTAAGCTGTTCTTTTGTAGGACTCAGGTACAATTCCCAGCACTCATGTCAGGCCCCTCCAAATGCTTCAAGCACCAGTGCCAGGGGATTGCACCCACTTTTTTGACCTCCTCGGTAACCTACGCACATATGACATTTATACATGTAGACACACACATATATACACAAAAATAAAAATAAAAAATCAAACCTTAATTTTTTTTTTAAATAAGAAAAATGTTTCCTACCCTTCTGTTTGTGAAGACAGAATAGCATTCCTTCACTAGTACATTCTTGATCATCTCTGTGTCCATGATGGCTAACACAGGTGTCTGACCTTCAAACAACCTGTGTGTGGGAAACAGCTGATTAACCCTAGCCAGGTTTTGAAGTGGAAGCCCCCAATCCAGACCTTGATTTTCATGTTATGTGACCCTCACTCTGATTATACAGTATGTTGTCACAGGAGGTCCCAATCTAGCTTAGGGGTATGACAATGGAGTCTTTGTAAAGTGACAGGGGATGTCATTCAAGACACAATGGGTCACTTAGAGACAAAATGGTTTGTAATGGGAATCTAGTAGAGTCATTGTATCTTGGGTAAACATTAGAATGAATAAGGTGCTTCTCACTGTATTAGGGTAATGGCAGAAAGTATCAGTTGTTTGTTGAAGGTACTTAGACCTTGGGTAAGGTACCCAGACCTTGAGAATAGTGACTGTTTTCTTTGACTTAAGGAGTTGTTTTTCTGAATGGGGTTTCCATCCATTCCATGACTTTAGTCACAAGACTATCGAGGTTTGCTTGGAAGTCTTGAATTGCTGGATACTGCAATCAGTGCACAAAAGGACTGAAGTTGCAGAGGTTGATGATTTCCTCCTGGAAACATAGACTAGATCAAAGGGGCTTTGGTATGTTGTACTCCAAACACAACCTTTGTGTACAATCTGTAAATATGCACCTGAACAGAGGTTCAAGGTTCAGTTCATAGGAACTGTTCCTCCCTGCTGGTAGTGGGCCTAAAATTAAACTCTGGAGACTCTTTCCTTCTTAGAACATCCCATGCCACAGGAAACACCAGACATTTGGTGCTCAGTGTCATGGGCTCAGTTAAGAGAGGTCTGGACACTGCAGGACTTGAGGTAAAGGATGCTTAGTGTAGACAATATTCCAGGATAGGATGAGGGCATGGGGATTTCCCCATCTCAGGAACAGAAATACATATGGTTACTTAAAGTGTTTGTTAAATGGAAATGGAGTGAATGAGAAAGAAAAGCAGCTTACAGAGCTTTTGGTATTATTTAAAGTCATTGTTATTAGTTTCATGCAACTGTTCATGTTCAATTAAAACTGACAGTATGGAAGCAAGTTGAGAGTTTAATAACAGCTCATCTGAGAGATGAGTACGGATTTGGCCTTTATGTAATTTGATTTCAAATGCTCCATCTGATATAGAACAGGGAAGTAAAAAGGGAAACATTCTGGCTAGAAATTGTCAGTCAGAAGACGAGAATGGTTTCTCACAGGAAAATAGAAATGTTGGGCAGAAGAAGATAAAAGTGAGGAGGGTGGTTTCAGGGCCCTACTCAGCTGAGCATCCTGAGGACTAGGGACTATGTGCAGGGAGCCTGCCTTAGCAGACTGTTCCATCCAGATGCTAGCATCCTGGTACCACCTACACCCACAGGAGGAGTCCTGCCACTGTCCACTGGAAGAGGAGAGCCATTACAGTATTGGACCTGCTTGCACCCACCGGAAGAGAACCTTGGTCCTATACCCACCAAGAGAGGGGGAAACCCTACTAGTACACACTGAAAAAGGGATCGATGGATGACAGTGTAAGTACACAACAACAGAAAGATCAATATGACACCCCCAGAATCGAAAAACTCCACACCAGAAAGACTTGAATATCCCAACACAGGGGAAGCAGAGGAGAATGACCCTAAAAACAACCTTATGATGATGACAAAGACCCTAAAGGAAATGAGAAAATCCCTTAAAGAAATGGAAGAAAAGACAAACAAACAAACAAAAAAACCCAAGAAAGGGAGGAAAAGACATACCAACAATCGCAAGAAATAATTCAAACAGTGCAAGGCTTGAAAGCTGAAATTCAGACAATAAAAAACAAAAACAAACAAAAAACACAGTCTGAGGGAATTCTAGAAATAAAAAACTGGGCAAATGCAAGTAAACTGCAGATGCAAGTAAAACCAACTGAATACAAGAGATGGAAGGGAGAATGTCAGGTGCTGAAAATACACTAGGAGAAATAGATTCATTGACCAAAGAAAATCTTAAGTCCAACAAATCCCAGACACAAAATATCCAGGAAATATGGGACACCATGAAAAGGCCAAACCTAAGATTAATAAGTATAGAAGAAGGTGAAGAAGCCCAAGTCAAAGGTGCAGAAAATATATTCAACAAAATCAAAGAAGAAAACTTTCCCAACCTGAAGAAAGACATGCCAATGAAAGTAGAAGAGCTTACAGAACACCAAATAGAGTAGATCACATGAAAAAAAGTCCCCTCACCACATAATAATCAAAACACCAAACATACAAAATAAAGAAAGAATATTAACAGCAGCAAAGGAAAAAGGCCAAGCAACATATAAAGGCAAATCTATCAGAATTACACCTGACTTCTCTATGGAAACTCTGAAGGCCAGAAGGTCCTGGATAGATATTCTACCAACACTAAGATATCATGGATGCCAGCCATGACTATTATACCAAGCAAAGCTTTCCATAAATATAGATGTAGAAACTAAGATATTCCATGACAAAACCAGATTTAAACAATACATACCCACTAATCCAGCCCTACAGAAAGTTGTGGAAGGAAAACTCCAACCAAAGGAAGTCAACTACACCCGCAAAACATAGGCAACAGATAATCTCACTTTACCAACAGCCAAAAGAAAAATGGGGGGAAATCCACATGCAATACCACCACTACGAACAAATCCAAAACAAACAAGAATTAACAATCAATGGTCCTTAATTTTCCTCAATATTAATTAATAGTCTTAACTCGCTATACAAGACACTGGCTAACAGTTAGATACAAAGACAGAATCCAACCTTCTGCTGCATACAAGAAACACACCTCAACTTCAAAGACAGACATTACCTCAGAGTTAAGGGTTGGGAAAAGATTTTCCAATCAAACGGACCCAAGAAACAAGCAGGTGTAGCAATCCTAATAGCTAACAAGTTAAACTTTAAACTAAAATCAATCAAAATCAATGGAGAAGGTCATTTCCTATTCATCACAGGAGAAATTCACAGGAGAAATTCACCAAGATGAAGTCTCAATTCTGAACATCTGTGCCCCAAGTAAAGAAACATAAAACCTCACCCATGCTGGGTGTTGGTGGTGCATGCCTTTAATCCCAGCACTTGGGAGGTAGAGGCCGGTGGATCTCTGTGAGTTTGAGGCCAGCCTGGTCTACAGAGCTAGTTCCAGGACGGGCTCCAAAGCAATACAGAGAAACCCAGTCTCAAAAAACCAAAAACCAAAACAAACAAACAAACAAACAAAAAAACCCTCACATACTTATAGGGGGAGATTTCAACACTCCACTCTCTCAACACTAGACAGGTCCACCAGACAGAACCTTAACAAAGAAACAAAGACAGAAGTTATGACCCAGTTGGGTTTAACAGACATTTATAGAACATTTCATATAAACACAAAAGAATATACCTTCTTCTCAGCACCACATGGAACCTTCTCTACAATTGACCACATACTCAGCAATATAGCAAACCTCAATAGGTACAAACAATTGGAATAAGCCCTTGTACCTTATCAGACCACCATGCTTTAACGTTAGAATTCAACAACACCACAAATTGCAGAAAACCTACAAACTCATGGAAACTGAACAGAGAGAAATTCATTATTCCTGGGTCAAGGATGAAATAAAGAAAGAAATTAAAGACTTTCTAGAATTCAATGAGAATGAAGACACAACATAGCCGAACTTATGGGGCACTTTAAAAGCAGTGCTAAAAGGAAAGTTCATAGCACTAACTGCCCATATGAAGAAACTGGAGAATAGTCATACTAGAGAATTAACAGCACAACTAAAAGCCCTAGAACAAAAAGAAGCAAACTCAACCCAGAGGAGTAGATGCCAGGAAATAATCAATTTGAGGGCTGAAATCAATAGAGTAGAAACTAGGGCAACAATACAAAGAATCAATGTAACAAAGAGTTGGTTCTTCGAGAAAATCAACAAAATAGACAAACCTTTATCCAAAATAACCAAAAGACAGAGAGAGAACATGGAAATTAACAAAATCAGAAATGAAAAGAAAGACATAACAAGGGACACTGAGGATCCAGAGAATTTTCAGGTCATACTTTGAAAACCTGTGCTCCACAAAATTTGAAAATTTAAAAAAAATGAACAATTTTCTGAATAGATATCACTTATCAAAATTAAATCAAGAACAGATAAGCAATTTAAATAGCCCTATTACCACTAATAAGATAGAAGTGTAACAGTCATCAAATCCTCCCAACCAAAAAAAAAAGGCCAGATGGTTTGTAGAATTCTACCAGAAATGTAAAGAACATTACTCCTTAAAGTATTCCACCCAATAGAAGCAAAAGGGTCATTGACAAATTAATTTTATGAGGCTACAATTACCTTAGTATCCAAGCCATACCAAGACACAGCTAAGAAAGAGAACTACAGACCAATATTCCTTATGAACATTGATGCAAAAATACTGGCAAATCGAATCCCAAGAACACATCAGAGAAATCATCCACCATGACCAAGTAGGCTTCATCCCAGGGATGCAGGGATGGTGCAACATATGAAAATCCATCAATGTAATCCACCATAGAAACAAACTGAAAAAGAAAAACCACTTGATTATCTCGCTAGATGTTGAAAAAGCCTTTGACAAATCCAGCACCCCTTTATGATAAAGGGCTTGGAGAGATCAGGGATAAAAGGAACATACCTAAACATAATACAACACAGCAAACCAACAGCTAACATCAAACTAAATGGAGAGAGACTCAATGCGATTCCTCTAAAATAAGGAACAAGAAAAATCTTCCCACTCTCTCCATAATGTTGTACTTGAAGTTCTAGCTAAAGCAATAAGACAACAAAAGGAGATCAAGGGGATACAAATTGGAAGTTAAACTGTCACTATTTGCAGATGATATGACAGTTTACATAAGTAACCTGAAAAACTCTACCAGGGAACTCCTACACCTGATAAACACATTCAGCAAACTAGCAGGATACAAGATTAACTAAAACAAAAAAAAAAAAAAAAATCAGTAGCCCTACTATATACAGACAATAAAGG